TCCCCAGGGCTTTTAGCAAATAGGACACCATCACATGACCATAGGCCTGGAGGAAACAGGTGAGGAGTTGCTTCTCACCTCTGACCCCAAGAGGGGTCCTGTCATGTGTCACAGGCTACCAGAGGTTCTCCACAGTCATCCTTTCCACAGCTTAGTCCCTGTGCATGACTCTAGGCTCCAGACCCATCCCGCTGGGCTTCCTGTGACCTTTAAGCTTTCCCCAGAGGGAACAAACATACTATCTAGATCTCTCATCTGAAGGCTGATGGACCTTAGTCCTCTAGTTCTTTGTCACATTTAACCTAAAATCCTTTTGCTATAAATGATGAAAGGTCAGGCAGGGCCTAGAGATAGCCAACACCGGCAAAAATAACCTGGGGAAGCCATCAGGCTACACATCACTAATCCTAAAAACAAAAGCAAGCAGGCAGCCCAGACTCCCTCACAGATAAGCATAGAGGAGGAGGCTTGGCTGTGTGCAAGGAGCTGGGCTCTGCAAAATCCCAGGCCTGGGAGCAGTCTGTGCTCCTTCTCCTTTTAAGGCAAGGTCTGAGCTCCTAGGGCTGCACTTGCTCCAACACGCCACAGCCCCATTCATTCCTGGCTATTTGGAGGAAAGCAGTGATTAATCAACGTTTCCCCACCCCCACCCCCACTCAGCCCGTTTTTACATTTGGTTCTTTTTAAAGTGTTGGCACACCTCTTGGTAGATCTTAGTCAACCTAGACCCCAGCTCAGGGGTATAGCTGGAGGAGTGACAGCTGGTGTCTAATTCGGTCAAGGGGGAGAGGTCGGGATGTGAGGTCTAGGAAGAGAAAAGGTTAAAATTCAGAGATCCAGTTTGGGTTGGGGGTTCTGAGCAGCTGTGGGAGGTGGGGGTGATAGGTGAAGCTCTGTGGATGGTGTGGCACTCAGGCAAGAGGAATATGGAGCAGGAAGCAGGAAGCCTTGACCCCTAATGGGAAAGGTCAGTGACTTGTTGGCTGCTAATGAGACAGTTGGGCCTAAGCCCCAGTTTTGCCTAAGCCTGCCAGGTGCAGTTGGTCAACATCTCTGTGGATCTCAGCCTCTTTCAAGCCAAACCTTTGAGCCAAGCAGGTTGGGTATTTTGGAGGGTGGTTGAGCAGTGTGCAATGGACAGGCACATCTGGAACAGAGGAGGAAAGGAAGGTAGCTGGCTCTGCCCCAGACCAGACCCCCAGAGCTTTTCTCACCCAGTGCTTTCCACCATGATCCTACACAAGAGGAAGGCATTATGGGACTGGTGAGATGGGATGGGAGAAGCGAGTCCCAGGCTAATCTAAAGAGGTCTTTATAGAGGGGCCCTAAAAGGAAAACTGCTGCAGGTAAACTGATGGACCAAACCCAGCTTCCTGGGAACCACGGTGGGAGTACAGGAGCTCTCTGATCCAATACTGTCACAGTCCCGGTGACAGTGCAGGAGTGCACTCTGGGCTTAGGGTTGAAAGGGGTGCAGTCCAAGGGTGTCTTCCAGGCCTCCAGCCCTTGCCTGCCTATTGTGATTGTGGTGGAGAAACCAAGGAACCTATGGTGTTTGTAATGTCGGTACAAACTGTTTCTGTAAGATCAACCTCTTCTCTATCCTCTCTGGGAAGGGTGGCGGTAAGGAAGGGTACCATGGAGTGTTGCTCTTCCAAACCCTGCCTTCCCTTCTTCCTGTACCCACCTGAGCACACCTGAAAGAAAACAGCCCTTCCTGTCTCTTCATACAAAACAAAAAAGGAAACAGCAGGAAAGGACCTCACAAGCAATCTTTAGCAGTCCAGGTACTCTGGGGTCTGCACCCTAGGTGCTACTCAAACAGCCTGTCTCCTCCATCACAGATAATCTACTTCCTCTGCTTCTCCACTAGGAATGAGAAGCAAGTACTGTAGAAATAGGTACAGACAGCCAGGCGTTGGTGGCGCATGCCTTTAATCCCAGCACTCGGGAGGCAGAGGCAGGTGGATCTCTGTGAGTTCGAGGCCAGCCTGGTCTACAAAGTGAGTTCCAGGACAGCCTCCAAAGCTACAGAGAAACCCTGTCTTGAAAAACAAAACAAAACAAAACAAAACAAAAAAAAGAAATAGGTACAGACTTGCAGTGGTTCTTAACTTGTGGGTCCTAAGCTGTTGGGTCATCTAAGACCATCAGAAAATGCAGATATTTCCATTACGTTTCATAAGAACAGCAAAATTACAGTTATGAAGTAGCACTAACACTAACTTTATGGTTGGGGTCACTGACATCATGGGGAACTGTATTAAAAGGTCCTAGCACTAGGAAGGTTGAGAACCACTGCTCTTTGGAGGTGTCGGGTAGCCTCTGCTGCCTGGAACATTCAAGCCTCTACCGTCTTCAGTTGGTTCCATCCTAGGGCCTTTCCAAGTAACGTCAGCATCCCAGCATCTGTAGTCACAGTGGAGTCATGCAACCCTGTATCCCACTACAGCAGGCTGCCCACAGTGGACTTCAGGGTTCTCCACAGAGGGACTTGTCTCTAGCAGTACTTTTTTTTTTTTTTAAGACAGAGTCTCACTATGTAGCCCTGGCTAGCCTGGAACTCACTATGTAGACCAGACTGGCTCCAAACTCAGATTTTCCTGCTTCTGCCTCCCTAGTACTGAAACTAGAGGCATGTGCCACTTATCAGAGTTCTTACTAAAGAGTAAAGGCAACAAAATTATGAACTGTTGAAGACACATATTTGATGAAAAGGTACAGCTATTATGTCTAGCTAATTAGTTCTTTTTTGTTTGTTTGTTTGTTTTGAGACAGGGTTTCTCTGTAGCTTTGGAGGTTGTCCTGGAACTGGCTCTTGTAGACTCAGCTGGTCTCAAACTCACAGAGATCTGCCTGCCTCTGCCTCCTGAGTGCTGGGATTAAGAGCAATTGCCACCACCACCCGGTTAATTAGTTCCTTCTTATTTCAAGGACATATATACATGCATATGCATTCAATAGTAGAAAGAATAGAATTTAGAAATATCCTTGGATGGTAAAATAAAATGTTATCAACACTATGTTGATCATTCCAATACCCCCCCCACACTTTTTGCAAATGTATTGGCTTCAGGTAGGGGTGTATCTTGGCAGTAAAAACACTTACCTAGCTTGTGCAAGGTCTGAGGTTTGATTCTTAGCAACACACACACACACACACACTTCATTATCCAAAGCCCTTGACTCCCCTAGGGAGCAGGGCTGGATTAGAGTGAAGGATATGAAACACTCATCATGAGTGCAGAATAAATGAAATAACTGACATTTTAATGTATTTAATTTATTATTGTTGTTATTATTATTATTATTTGTGCATGCGGGTGAACATGGTCAGAGTTTTCTTCACCATGGGATCTGGGGATCAAAAGATTGGCAGGCAGGGCTGGTGAGATGGCTCAGTGGTTAAGAGCACTGGCCGCTCTTCCAGGGGTCCTGAGTTCAATTCCCAGCAACCACATGGTGGCTCACAATCGTCTATAATGAGTTGGTGCCTTCTGGTGTGCAAGCACACATGCAGGCAGAACACTGTATACATAATAAATAAATAAATCCTTTTAAAAAAAGACTGAAAATATTACTTTAAAAAAAAGATTGTCAGGCTTGCACAGCAAGTACCTTTTCCTGTTGAGCCATCTTATCTTGCTGGCCTCCTTTATATATATATATATATATATTTTTTTTTTTTCAAGACAGGGTTTCTCTGTGGCTTTGGAAGCTGTCCTGGAACTAGCTCTTGTAGATCAGGCTGGTCTTGAACTCACAGAGATCGGCCTGCCTCTGCCTCCTGAGTGCTGGGACTAAAGACATGCGCCACCACCACCTGGCTTTAATGTATAATATAAAATAAAATTGGGGTTGGAGAAATGACTCTGTAGTTAAGAGCACTTGGTGCTCTTGGCAGGCATGGTAATGCATAACTTTAGGCCCAGTACTTGGGAAGCAGAGGCAGGTGGATCTCTGTGACTCCAAGGCCCTGCCTTGCTGTTCTTGCAGAGGACTCAGGCTGGGTTCTCAGCACCCACATGTATACTCACAATCATCTTTGACTCCAGTTCCAGGGTCCAATGCCCTCTTCTGCCCTCTGTGAAAACTGCAGGCACGTGGTATAATACAAACATGCAGGCAAACACTCACACATTAAAAAATCTTTTACAAAATACTTTATTGTGATTTATGTACAGAGGCATTTTGCCTGCATGTATGTCAGGATACCACTTACATGCCTGGGTATCCAAGGAGACCAGAGGAGGGCGTCTGAGGTTATGCACGGTTGTTGGACCCCATGAGAGTGTTGAGAATTGAACCTGGGTCTTCTAGAAGAACATTCAGTGTTTTTTTTTAAAATTTATTTATTATATACACAGTGTTCTGCCTACATGTGTCCCTGCAGGTCAGAAGACAGCACCAGACCTCAATACAGGTGGTTGGGAGACACCATGTGGTTGCTGGGAATTGAACTCAGGACCTCTGGAAGAGCAGCCAGTGCTCCTAACCTCTGAGCCGTCGCCCCAGCCCCATTTAGTGTTCTTAACCCCCAAGCCATCTCTCCAGCCAAACAAATGAGTCTTTAAAAAAACCAAAATAAATGCAAGCAAATCTATAATGACAAGCACTTAGCACTGTAAACAAACCGTGCTAGCATGAGTGGTTTTCTCCTTTGCCTCAGTTTACCATGCATAGCAGGAAGCTCTAAATTATTCACCCGTGACAGAAAAGGTCTAAGAATGCTCCATGGAGGCGCTGTGCTCTCTCTGTAGGCATTCATTCACACGTGGCTCAACGCTGTGGCCATGAGTCTGATGTCCACCCACTCTCTGAGGCTGGAGTCCTGTCCTGAACTACAGAACTCAACAGGCAGGCTGCCAATCTTCCCCAAATCACACGTCCTTCAGAGACTCAAGGGCACTTACACAAGCCCTCCCTGCAGGGCCCCACACCCCCTCGCCTCACTCTGCAGCAGGCTCTGCCATGTTTATTTTTCTTTTCTGAATTCTTAGGAAAGCAAGCAAGTGGAGAGAAAGACAGATGCCAAAAACGGAGAGGAAAAGGGCAGCGATGCCAGCAGAAAGGTCCTAGGCCCCAGACAGGGCTCAGACCTGGGCAAGGAGCCCAAGAAGGGTGTTTTGAAAAAAAGCTTCTCCAGGGACCGGGAAGAGGCTGACGGCAGAGGGGGAGAGAAGCCCAAGGAGGAGAAGACCATCAGGGGCATTGACAAGGGCCGGGTCAAGGCTGCGGTGGACAGGAAGGAGGCTGGGAAGGACAGCAGAGAAGAGAGGACAGTGGCCCCCCCGAAGAAGGAAGAAGAGAAGACGGGGAGTGTCAGGAACGCAGGCTCGAGCAGAGACAAAGACAAGAAGAGAGAGGAGGTGAAGGAGCCTAGCAAGAAAGAGGAAGAGAAGCTAAGGGCAGAGAGCAGGAGCACAGCCTCCCGAAGGGAGGACGGGAGGCAGAAACAGCCAAGTGAGAGCACAGACAGGAGGGCAGAGGATCAGGGCGCACAAAAAGGAAGCGGAGACGGAGACTCCAGAAAGGAGGAAGCGAAGGCTAAGACGGACGAGAACCGACCTGACAAAGACGGCAGGGAAGACAGCAAGACCAAGGCCACAGAGAAGCAGGCCCCCAGTGGCCCCAGCAAGCCCTCTGAAGGGCCAGCCAGAGCGGAGGAGGAAGCAACGCCCAGCATATTTGATGAACCTCTGGAGAGAGTGAAGAACAACGACCCAGAGATGACGGAGGTGAACGTCAACAACTCAGACTGCATCACCAATGAAATCCTGGTCAGGTTTACTGAAGCCTTGGAGTTCAACACTGTGGTCAAGGTGTTTGCTTTGGCCAACACACGGGCTGATGACCATGTGGCCTTTGCCATTGCCATCATGCTCAAGGCCAATAAGACCATCACCAGCCTCAACCTGGACTCCAATCACATCACTGGCAAAGGAATCCTGGCCATCTTCCGGGCCCTCCTCCAGAACAACACGCTGACAGAGCTGCGTTTTCACAACCAGAGGCACATCTGTGGCGGCAAGACTGAGATGGAGATCGCCAAGCTGCTCAAGGAGAACACCACCCTGCTGAAGCTGGGCTACCATTTTGAGCTGGCTGGGCCCCGGATGACGGTCACCAACCTGCTTAGCCGCAACATGGACAAGCAGCGACAGAAACGGCTGCAAGAGCAAAAGCTGGCCCAGGAAGCCAGCGGAGAGAAGAAGGACCGGCTGGAGGTACCCAAGGCTGGGGCTCTGGCCAAGGGCTCCCCCAAACCTTCACCCCAGCCATCCCCAAAGTCTGCTCCAAAGAACTCACCCAAGACAGCGGGCGCTCCAGCAGCCCCGCCTCCCCCGCCCCCTCCCCTGGCCCCACCTCTTATCATGGAGAATCTAAAGAACTCACTTTCACCAGCTACCCAGAGGAAGATGGGAGACAAAGTGCTCCCTGCCCAGGAGAAGAACTCACGTGACCAGCTCCTGGCTGCCATCCGCTCCAGCAACCTTAAGCAGCTGAAGAAGGCAAGTGATGGTGGGCGCAGCTGTGGAGCCCAGACAGTTCTAGGCTTGTAGGAGATGGGGGAGTGGGTTACAGATGGAACCCATGTCAAGGAGCCCATGTCAGGCCCCAGGGCCTCAGCCCACTTCACCTCTCTTAGCGTCAAGGCCCTTGCTTCCTTTAAGGCTCTTCCTCTGGCCTCCCACTTCATACCCCTGCCTGCTCTACCTGTGATCAAACCTGCATCCCCCTAGGAATGGAGAATAGCTTCTATGTGTAAGGCTGCCACAGGCTGGCCTGCAGGCTTTCTTTTTCTCCATTTTTTCCCAAACAAAACTAATTTTGATTCTCTATTCTGTTCAATCTCAGGATCCACTCAAGTCCACAGGCTAGTATATCCTACAGGTCACCCCTTGGAAGAGTTTACTTTAAATGGCCAGTGTCTTGGACAATGACTGTCGCTCAGCCTCTTGATTCTCACATCCCTGTCTCCTTGGAAGTCCACTTGAGTTATAGAGTCCAGAGTTGTTTGTCTTCTTGACTGGACACCCTAATCAGGATACCTTAACTGAGTATCCTAATTAGGATACCCTAATGCCCCTAAACATAGACACCCCACTGTAATCCGGAGGCTACTTGCTGACATCTATCTGGCTTTTACAGAAAGGGAAATGTTCCCTTGCTGTCAATACCTCATGCGCTCACCCCACAGACACACACTGAGGTTTTTGGGTGGTATCCTTTTGCAATGGAGGAAAGTTAAACTTTAGGGCGCCCTGTTGGGCTCTCTGAGCTAACCCATCTCTGTTTTGCCTTACAGGTGGAGGTACCCAAGCTGCTTCAATAGGACCAGGCAGCCAGGCACTGGTGCCAATGCCGTGACTGCCAGACTCTTGTGCCAGGGCTACACCGACCCCCCACTACCCCACCCTGGCTGAGTTGTTGCAGTTGTCCCTGTCCACCATGGGAGAGCTTGAGGCCTGGGCCACGCTCGAGGGAAGACACCTTGTTTCTTCTCACTTTCCTTTTCCTGTCTCTGAGGCTCTCCAAAAATTGCTTTGAAACCTGGAGCTGAAGTTTCTGGACAAGAGGAATTCTTTAAGCACATCACAGAGAAGATGGCACTGCCAGAGCCCATGTAGCAGGCATGCTGCCAAAGGCTTACGACGCAGAAAAGATGTCTCCCAGGGACCACACATCCACTCCAGCCTTACTGCCTCCAGGGCCAGGATTCAGGCCTCTGAGGAGCCCTTGAGGGAAAGCTGCTGGGCCAGTGGCACTCTTTGGGCCAGTGGCAGAAGGATGGAGGGCATGGGGGTCCAAGGGTAGGGCAGGAGAGCTGAGGATGCTACAAATCCCTTCATCTGCTATACCTGGGCAGCAGGTACGGTCGGACACGCCTGATAGAGGGTAGGCTCCAGACGGGAGTAGAGAGACAGCAGCTGGACATGAAGGGTTGATGCCAAAGCAGACGTTTTCTTCACACCACCTGCTGCTGTATAAATCGCTATGTATCTGTTTTTCCATAAGATTTTGATAATATATACAAACCTTTAGCTGTGAGTGGCTATGCCTCACCTTTTTTATGTATTAATGGACCTAATGTTCGCTCCAGGTCCCCTAGAAGGCCTCCAAAAGCTCAGGGTCTCTGCCAAACCATTCAAGGTCCATTCCTGGAACCTGTGCATCACTGCAGAGAGGGCAGTATGGGGGAGGGCTTGAACTCTTGAGGAGACACCCTCCTGACCTGGTGTTACGGGTCTGTTTCTCAGCCGTCTCTCTGCCTTGCATCTATGCCCAGAGCTGCTCTCAGGGGAGACGGGGCAGACAGGCGCACGGGGCCCTGGGATGGCTATATTAGGCACGTTCAGGGCTGATCACTCTATGACTCTCCCTACTGTGGACTCGGGGCCAGCTCTTCACACCAGTTATAGGCCAAGGAAGGCACAGTCAGAGAGTCAGGGTGACTCAGTGAGGGGCAGCATCTGCACCAGCGTGACTTAGGGCCAGTGTGCTCCAGCGGGAGGCAGAGCCGCCACAGCCACCAAGGTCCCATTTAGGGGTGAAGCTCAGTGTTAGATCCCATGCCTAGCACGGAGGCCTCGGGTTCCATCCCCAGCACTGACCTCACGACAAAAGCCTCTCACTGGCTTGAAGATAACTGTGGCACCATGAAACTGCCACCTTGGTTCTTGGTCACAGACAGGTTCTCTGCCTACATTTTTTTGGCCTCAATAGTGGAGAGTAAAGCAGATGGAATATATGTGGGGTCCGATCTTCCTATGTCTGGCTTAAATGAGAGAAAGACAACTCACATCCAGGGTCTACTCTGACCCTGTTCCTCCCCAACTCACCTGCTGCCTAAGGAATAGCTCGCTCCAAGGGAGGAGAGAAACCAGGGCTGGCTCTCAGCTCTCAAGGAGTGTGCTTTGGAGCCAAGCCCACGAGTTACACCTGGTGGGTACAAGGCACTAGTTAGATGCTTACGGGTGCCTTCTGTTGATCTTTCAGTTCTACTGTGGAAGCCAATAGCTTCAGTTTTGCAGATAGAATTAATCATCGGAGCACGTACACATGGCTAATAAGAGACAGAACTGAGGTCTTCATGCCTTCCTGCCGCTGAAAAATGGACCAATGATAGCTCTTCACTATCTATCTATCTATCTATCTATCTATCTATCTATCTATCTATCTATCATCTATCTATCTATCTATCATTTATCTATCTATCTATCTATCTATCATCTATCTATCTATCATCTATCTATCTATCTATCATCTATCTATCTATCTATCTATCTATCTATCTATCTATCTATCTATCTATCTATCTATCCATCTATCCATCTGGCTAACCTTGAACTCAGACCTTGCCTCTGTGTATTAAAGGCGTGTGCCTCTGCACCAGGCTAATCTCTAGCTTTCAAGTGTCCTTTAGAACCTTTCACCTTTGCATTGTTTTGTCGTTGTTTGCTTTTTTACCCAAGTGGAAACACGATTTAGTTGAGGGGGAGTAATAGCCACTCCCTACCTCCTCTCAGAGCCCTCTAGGCTTGGGATGATGTAATCATTTCTGAATGCGTTTAAGGATGATTGTGGGAGCACAGCGCCACCTCGAGGCAAACTGCGTCCCAGGCTCTCCTACTCTGCAGAGCCGCCTAAATCTTGGACCTGGAGCTTGCGGCGGAGGTCAGGGTAGAAGACCAAAGGGTAGGAAAGGACATTGGCTGTTGGTGCAGCACTGAGGCACGAGCAAAGTGCTGAGCGGGAGCTTGCGCTCAGGACCTGCGGGATGCACAGAAGCGTTCCTACCCGCCCCACGTGTTCAGCTGTCGGCCTGCCGCACACGAAACTGCAGTCACGAGTCGGCCAGGTTTTTCCTTCCTAAAACAGAGGACGGCCAGAACTAGCAATAGAAGAGCTCTATCCCCATCCAGCAGCTACATTTTACAAACGGGAAAAAAAGGTTCAAAGAAAGCAAATGATTCATTCAAGTTAATGAATCCGTACTCAACTCCAGGTCCCCCTTGAGAGTATACTGGTCCACGGAGAAGACACTTGACCTCAGGCTCTGCAGCCTTCTCCGTCTTCTTCCCTGGGTTCCATTCCATGTTTCCTGCCCCCAAACTGAGAAATTCCTTCTCCTAATTTTCGCTCCACTTTCCTTTGCCAGGAGACGCCAAAGCTAGGACAAGGGTCTGTCTGGCACTGGCCATACGTGGGCACTAGAGGCTGCAGAGGTTCTCATGCTGTCACAGGCGCTCAACATGCGTTGAGCTAGGGCAATCAAAGGGCTCCAGGTCTCGGCCTGAGCGGTCAGTCTCCACGCTCACTTGGCCACATTGAGAACTAAGATGTGGATGTGGGCCACTAACTCATGACCATGCTTTTCTCTTGTCACTGTCTGGAGGACCGAGCACAGTTCCCATCCCTGACAGCAGATGCTATTCAGCTGAAATCAGCCTGGAAGTCAGGTCCAGGACCAGGGGGTGCACATCCTTTGGGAGGCCCATCTTGTCCAAAAGCCTTCTCCCCTTCTGGAATTCCCTTCTCCAGGCCTCCATTTCCTCTTCCTTTTCCCCCAGCACCCAAACTCCTACAAATTCCTTGGAGTTCTGCCATCCTCACCCCGGATGAACACCCATACCTGAACGGGTCCATGTTTGTCTGGGTTTGTGTGTGCTTCAGCTGAGAACAAGCCCAGGGCCTCACATATGCAGTTATAGGCCAATGTTTTTGTATACAAACACCCCTCCTCTTCAACTAAATCTCCTTTACCAGTCCTTAGACTGTTCAATGTTTCCTCCTAGCCTAGCAAGACCACACTTACATCATTAGGGTCCCCTAACTGTTGTTTTAATTGATGCAGGGTTTCTCGGTGGAGCCGAGTTCCTGGCTGTCCTGGAACTCACTCTATAGACCAGGCTGGCCTCGAACTCAGAGATTCACCTGCCTTCATCTCCTCAGTGCTGGGATTAAAGACATGCACCACCACACCCAGCAAAGTTTCCTAGTTCTTAAGGGCCACTGTCTCCCCCTCCACCAGCCCTCCTTGTCTTACTGAGATGCCTATTGGGTTTTCAGGGGTGCTAAGAGATAGAAAGGACAGGTACATCCCCCCTCTGGGCTTCCTCAGGTCTTGCAGGGATGGTTTTTTTTTTTCTCCAACGACACACACTGCAAATTAGAGTTTGGGGGAGACTGAATGCTATGCTCACTGAAGGTGCTCCAGCATGTGACGGGACTCTGCTGAGTCCTCCCCGTCTACCCTGGAAAGTTTCTTCTTAGAATTCTTATGTCCAGTGCTCTGTTGTGTTAACCGGAGACAGCCCTTCACTGGCAGCTCTGGCTGGGGTACACCTGCCTCCCACCCTACAATACAAAGTAACTTGTCATAGATTGTTGACTCAAGGACGATGAGTCCTGTTAAGGCCCTCGTACAATAACATCGGTTCTCCCCAAGTCTGGGAAACCTCATCCTGTACCTGTCACCTTCTCAACTTCCAGGAAGAGACAGTCTTCCCATGGGTGACTGAAGAACAACTGTGCTTACCAGCTCCATCTTTTCCCTACTCCCACAGAGAAAGTGAATTTGTAGCTGTGGGCCTAGGATTGTCCCCTGGAGTATCAGCTACTCCTCTGTGACAAGGTTCATGTTCAGGGAGCAAACTCGTGTGCCCTTGATTTCACTGAGGAGAGGCAGGCTGTGAATTTACTCAGGAGCAGACCTTTGCCCAGGGGAGTCTATGACCGAGGCCCCAAAACTCCTGCCTTCTAGATTATATGATAAGAGGAGCTGTCCCCTGGGTATGTGGCTACAGAGGGCCCTGAGGGCATGGTGAGCACAAGGTCCCTAACCTAGAACCTAGAGGGCTGCCAGAAGCCTGAAGCCAGAGGCTGCACTGGGCTAGATTTCCTGAGGGTGGTTGAAAAAAATGGCTGAACTTAGGGAACTGGGAGAAGGGGATATTGGGTAAGCTGACGGTCTCCCTGCTAGAATCAAAACTATTAAAACTGTTTTGGAGTGTGTCTTAGGAGCAAAACACTTAACTGTCGAGCCGGAGGCCCCAAGTCCTATTCCCAGTATTGCCAAACTTCAAAATTATGGAATTCCCTTTCCTACATCTGTTACCAGATGTCTTGAGAGCAGAGCATAAAGGTTATGACTTCAAGTATCAGAACAAGGGAAGATGGACAGACAGCTCTGAACATCCACTGCCACTCCCAGGTCCCCACTGCTAGGTAGCCTTCACAATTCTTATGCCTAGCTTCCCTGGGTCCCTAGTGTGGCCTGAAGGACCTGACACCTTAGCATCCATGAAGATCAAGCAGTTGACACGCACACCTTACACCAGTCTGTTGGGCCGCCACTTCTTGCTGCTTGGCTCCTAGCCCTAGGCCTCTGATCAGGAAGGAAGGACAGAGTCATAGTTTCAGGTCCATTGTATATCATCTTTCTGATCGCTATCACTCCCATTCTATTGATGAAGGCACTGGGGTTTGGAGACACATTCAGATGCGCAAGGTCAGATAGTGGTGAGATCCAAATTTGAATCTAGATGTACTTGGATGGACAGGTGCCTTTATATAGCTGGTGGCGCCTCAGGTGTCCCAGAGGCCTGGTCACGAAACGCTGGTGAGTGCCCTTCCTAGCTGCCACAAATCCACCTCGCTTGCTTTGGAAAACAGCCAAGGGATCCCCAGGGGTTCTGTCTGGGATGGGGCTGATGGTGGAGCTCTGCTCCCACTGGTACTGAGCTGCCCTCCCCTGCTGTGGAATGTGGAGCAGGCAGCAGTCTGGGTTCAGAAGAAGGCAGGGTTAAGAGAAGGGGTGAATGGGGCCAATGATTCCACTGATGTGAGTTGTATCATTACAGCTTTAATCCAGCAGGGCCTGAGCTCTGGCCAGTGGGGCAGCCAGAGGGAAGGGCTGTGGCCAACTGTTGATAGAGCCCCCCCCACTCTCTCCACCTCAGCCCAAAGAGGGCAAATAGGAGGCGCCCGACCTTCTCATTGGGATCCTGGGAGCAGAGGGACCACTGAAAATAGAGACCGTGACCCAA